CTCACTGCACAGGCTGATGTGACCACGACTGCTGCATCCAAACGGTCATTCAAACAACTGAAGCAGTTGAAACGTCGTCAGCCTTCTTCAGCCACAACCACAACCGCAGCAGGAGCTCAACTAACGAGTCCATGTGCTGGAATGAAAGAAGAGGAGGAGGTAGTGCTGGAAGCCAATTAACTGCTGCTGTTGCTAGTGAACGAATGAACGACTGAAGAATAATAGAGTCTGCTCAGCCGTTGGTTACCGTCGCCGTGGTCGTAGCCGTCGTCGTCGAATGTTGACATCACAAGAACGCACTGCTTCTCCCTCTCTCTCTCCCTCATTTGGTGCTTCCAGTTCAGCGTGGCGCTTTGGCGCGAATGCTTCTGCTGCTGCTTGGGTGGGTCAAAAGGCGACGGCAGCGACCGCAACGAAGGCAACAGCAGCAGCAGCAGCCTTTCACAGAGAAAACAGGTTACCTGAGAGAGGGAGAGATTACCCGTCCGCTGACTGATGAAAAGTGCAAGATGAAGAGTGCACTCACCAGTTGCTGCAGTAGTTGCTGCCGNACAACGAAAGCAGCAGCAGCCTTTCACAGAGAAAACAGGTTACCTGAGAGAGGGAGAGATTACCCGTCCGCTGACTGATGAAAAGTGCAAGATGAAGAGTGCACTCACCAGTTGCTGCAGTAGTTGCTGCCGTTCTCGTTTCCGTTGCTGACCCTTCTTCTCAGCAACTAACGAGGCAACTTGCTCTCTCTCTCTCTCTCTCTCTCTCTCTCTCTCTCTCTCTCTCTCTCTNCTCTCTCTCTCTCTCTCTCTTTCTCTCTTTGCTGTGATGCAACAACAACAGCTCTGACAGCAGCCTGCAAACCGGAATTGGACGACCACACTAACACAGTGAGGGGGCAGGTAATTAGTGCAGTCAGTTGATGATGCCCACCCCCTCACTCACTCACTCGCACACCGATTACACCGTAGTAGTAGCAAAGTGAAATTGGTCTTTTAGTCTTGTTTATATTTATTCAGGTGATGGAGAGATTAAACATCGAGAGATAGCGAGACAGACAGAGAGGGCAAGGTAGTGTCCTGGGAGAAAGTTGATAAACACTACACACAGGTGATCGGGTAAAGAGCACGCACCACCGTTATATTTTTAGAATGTGGTTGTTGTTGTTGTTGTTGTTGGTATCATCAAACAGAAAAGAACAGTTCTCTTTGAGGAGTGCGTGTGTGTCTAGAAAATGCCCTGATGGAGTTTGTAGTTGAATGTTTCTAAAGATGGAAAGGGAGAGATTAAAAGATAATGTACACACTTTAGTAGCGGCTATTCCTTTAGAGAAACAAGAGATAGGAGAAAGAAAGAGTTCTGGAGATGCTGGCGTTGAAGAAGAGAAGGGAAAAGAGGAGAAAGAGGAGGAGGAAAAGTAATAGCCTAGCTTGGTTCGTGGGATAAAAGGAGAGAAAGTAAATCGATGCTCGACATTTGAAAGAGCGTAAACAAGAGAGAGGAAGCTGAAGAGAAAGAGAGGGATGAAGACGCAACAAAAGACTGGTGGAGAAGGGAAAGATGAACGAACAGAGAGGATGAACAGAACAGTGTGTTTGGGTGTGTGTGTGGTTGTTGTTGTTTGCAAGATCGAGGGGCGTGTATGCAGTTAGAGAGTGGTCAAGAGAGTGAGAGGAGAGTGAGAAGATGGGCTGACCACCATCATGACATCACATTCCGTAGACGCTCTCGTCGCTGTAGGCGATGTAGAGGAAAAAGTCCTCTTCCCGGTGCTTCTGGTACAGGGAGCCGATGGTCGCCGAGGTCGGGGGAATGACGTTGTTGACGAAGAAGAAGAGTGCGTCTTCAGGTCGCAGCTGGATTCGCTTTCGAATGAGGAAGTAGAACTGGCCGACGGTCAGGTCTGAGGGGACCAGGTACTTTTTCTTGTCCAGGTCGCCGATGCGTGCATCGGGCGCCTTCTCCACAATCACCTAGTGAAGGGAAGGGAAGGCAAAGCAAAAACAGATCAATAATGTGAAATCGAAACGGATGCCTAACCAGGTCATCAGAAGATCGCTGTCAGTTCGGCTAAAACTACCACCAACAAAAAGCTGACTCTAAAAGCTTCAAGCTAAATTGTTTTTAGTTTCTTTCGGGTAATACGTCAAGTAGAAACACAACTACCACTACAGCGTAAAGTGCAAAAAGACAGCACTGAAAAAAAAGTTAGTTGTCACGGTGTGGCAATGCACGCATATTGTTAGTGCTTCTGTCGCAGCAGTTGCAACACAGAAATAGCGTAGCTGGCAAAGCCAAAAAGATTCGCAATATGCAAACGTGCGAGATGACAACGGATGCTCTTGTAGCTGCTGCTGCTGCTGTTGAGTAGTGAGAGAGTTACTCAAGCTCAGCACAAAAAAATCATATGATGGAGAGAAAGAAAGACAGAGAGGTAAGTAAGCTAGTGATAATGATACACTTTGGCTCACACGTACTGCACTANATGTAGCTGCTGCTGTTGAGTAGTGAGAAAGTTACTCAAGCTCAGCACAAAAAATCATATGATGGAGAGAGAGGTAAGTAAGCTAGTGATAACGATACACTTTGGCTCACACGTACTGCACTAGAGCAGACAGTCTCTCTATCTAACTACTGTCTTATGAGCGTCTAGAGATGACCGATCTGATAGAGCGATCACAAAGAGAGCAAAACAAAACAACAAAGCACGCAGTACTCACTGGAACACGGCTAGGGTACTTCTTGCGAATCTTCTCGCCCTCCTCCTTTCGCTGCTCAAATGGGTGCTCTTCCTTGTAGTGGAACTTCATTTTGATGCTGAGATGACCAGAAAGTGGGCTGATGCTGACTACAGAAAAAATGACATTAGAAATTGAAATTAGAACTCGCGACTAATAACAACAGTACCTTAAAGTAATGTAACTCGCTGAGAGTTATTAGTGATCCAAAACGGCTTCAAAATCGTGATATGGGAAAACAGTAGTCTTCTAGAGTGGAAAGAAAAGAAAGAAAATAGTCAGTGAGTGAGTGAGCGAGCAGAAGCTGAAACACACAGTGCTGCAAGAGCCGAGCAACTCAGCAGCAGCAGTAACAGTAGCCACTACCGAGATAGAGTACGCACTTTGGCGAGGTGCAAACAACAGTGGGAATAAACAGTGAAATGCAGACAGGCAAAAATACTGTCAAGATTGGGTGTGTGTCACAGAATGGTAAGGTCTCGTAGGGAGTTGAGGTCAATCGAGTTGGTGGTGGTGGTGACGGCTAGGGCCAAGTTTAATTGAGATGCAAAGGAGAGGAGAGAATATGGCTGGAGCAAAACGAGAGAGAGAACGCAGTGGAAAGTTGAGCGAGTGTGTTTTGATTTTGGACTAAATAGAAAACAGCGCAGCCTTTGGCAGAGGCTGAGCATGCGTTGCCAGCCAGCACTATCCTCCGTCTCCTCCTCCTCCTTCTATCTCCGTTCTTTGCCTTCTGCAGTGGTTCAGCTGCTGGGCGCCAGCATTCAAAGCAGCAGCAGCAGCAAATGCGCATTTGTGTTGTGCCTGGCGCCAGTATCAGCAGTAAGAGTAGTGGTGTAGCAGTAGTGGCAGCAGCAGCTGACATGCGTCACATCGGGCGACTTTCCCCTCCCCTCCCCCACCATTTCTCTTCTCCTGCTTCTGCTGCTAACGTAAGCTTGACCCTGGCGTACTGGTTTGGATGCAGTGCAAAAATGGAGTCACCTTTGCACAGAACAGGGGCACAAATAGGTTTCGAGTGATGGAAAGTCTGCTAGGCCCGAGACTGGACTCTGGGGTAGAAGTAGAATAGTGGTGGCAGAGGCGCACCGTTTTCTTTTTCTCCGCCTCCTCCTCCTAGCTGAGTGTCTCCNGAGTGATGGAAAGTCTGCTAGGCCCGAGACTGGACTCTGGGGTAGAAGTAGAATAGTGGTGGCAGAGGCGCACCGTTTTCTTTTTCTCCGCCTCCTCCTCCTAGCTGAGTGTCTCCTTTGCACTGGCTCTCCTTCGCATCCAAAGACGTTTGGAGAAGACGACGACGACAAGTCGTCGAGGATGGCAACAAGTCACAAGACAGTAGAAAATCAGCGGGCGCAATCGACCGACCGGTGAAGGCAGCAGACAGCCGCCAAGAATGAGTCACTTGCCTTGTGGCGATGCATCAGTTAGCATATGTACACACACCTCTCTCCTACTTCTACCTCTACGTGACATTCACTCGACCAGCTGCTGTTGCTGCTGTTGATGTACGACAACAACTTCAGTGGAGGTAAAGTGAGTGGCTGCTGTACAAGAGATTGACAGGCTAGCGCTCTGTTGTTCCTCGCTGGCAACTTTTCGGTGCTTTTCAGTTTGTCAATAGCCGCACACAGCACAAAATTGGGCGCACAGGCAGTGAAAGAAGAGAAGAGAAAGGAGGAAGGAAGGAAAAAGTTCCCAGATAATAGGCACTATACTACACTGCTATCGCGTAATCATGGCTGCCTGAGTGGTGGTAATCAGGGAATCGGAGAAAGACCGTCCGAAACTGAAGTGGATGCGAATGTTTACGTCTCCAAATCACAGCAGCTGCAGCAGCTAGGGAGCAAAAGGACCTCGACACAATTGATGGTCGTCGTATCCCCAGTAGTGTGAGTCAGTGAGCGAAACGGGGATCTTATCTAGACTACAATGGTGTGGTAGTCCAGCAAAAAATGGGAGCAATCTTACTAACATTAAAAACTGTGTGACTCATTTTCAGTGGGACAATAAAACAGAAGCAGCAGCAAAAGCTGTCAAAGGGAAGTGTTGAATCAGCACTGCTAATTTGATGATGCAACCAGAAACAATCGTCAGACAATAGAAGTGATGCCTGAATGATGCAAAACTAGGCGATGGATGGATGGGGATACCACAAATCATCATCTAGAGATGATAACAGAGACAGACTTACCCAAGGGAAGTGACAGTCGATGGAGAGGTTGTCGAGACGAAGAAGCGATGACTTGCTCGATGGGCTCGAGAGATTGGGAGAAAGTGAGAGAGAATGGGAATCGAGAGATGCGTCCTGAACACTGGCCAAGCTAGAACTGTGAGTGCGAGGGAGCGAGAGAGACTGAGCAAAACAAAAACACAAATCTCGCATCCACTGAAGCAGCAGGAGGAGGAGGATGAAAGTGGGAGGAGCTTCCTTCTCCTCCTCCTCTTTTGCTGCCATCTGCCGACTTGATTGACCAGTTTTGGCCACTTTTACCAAATCACAACAATATTCTCCCCTTTCCTTTGGTAATGATGACTCAATTTATCAGCGGCGCAACACATACCGCAACAATCGGCTTTCACCAGTATCTTCTTCTGTTTGAGTTGCCGGCAGGTTTTGAAGCTACCCTCCTTGACTGCCTTGGACACTGGAGAAGATCTGAAGGCCACTGCTGATCACCCTTTAAAGAAATCGAACCGCCTTCTGCAGCTCATTCCAGCTCATCATCATCAGTCGAGATGAGCACCAGCATCAACATCAGCAATGACCTCAACAACTACCTCAAGACTTCGGGATCGTCCATCAACGGCACCGGTGGCCAGTCCTCCTCTTCCGCCTCCAATGGATTCATGAACGGATGGTTCAGCGGCAGCAGCAGCGGTGGCGGTGGTTCTTCATCGAAGCCGTCCGGTGGTGATAGTAAAAGCTGGTTCAGCTACCAGCCACTTCGAACTAGTCCCGATGATGATGCGGCGTCAGTCAACTCGAGCTCAACTCAGTCTGGAAGTGGTGGTGGTTGGCTGCGAAATCCATTCGGTACCAAGGAGCCAGAGCCCCCGGGATGGTTGCCCACTTTGGTATGACTCAAGAAGTGTTCAGCTGCTGTACAGCCTTTTCTAATCAATGTCTATCCCCTCAGTCGAGGACACAGCGAATCATCGGCTTTCTTCTCTTTATCTTCATGGGCATCACCTGCTTTGGCCTGGTAAGCATTACATTTATTTTCATTGAGCCAAAATTCTAACCAAGTTTCGTCGTTTCCTCCTTCCAGTCAACCATGTACATTCCAGTATTGATCTTCAAGGCGCGAAAGTTTTCCATTCTCTTTACCTTCGGCTCGGCATTTATCGTTTTGAGGTAACTTCAGTTTGCTCATTTAGTTACCTCTCCTTAGACACTAATTCTGTGCAATTCTCCCCTTCAGTTTCGCCATCCTCTTCGGCCCGGTGAGCCACCTGAAGCACCAGTTCTCTCGCGAGCGTCTGCCCTTTACACTGGCCTACTTTGGCTCGCTCATAGCGACGCTGTACTTTGCCATGGAGGTACTGTGCTGTAACCATTTGTTGTTCTTAATCTAAAACTCCCACTAATCTCTCCCCCTAGCTTCAAAGCACCATCCTCACCATTCTGGCGGCCATCACGCAGATTGTCGCCCTCGTCTGGTACGTCTTCACCTACATTCCCGGCGGTCAGACGGGGCTGATGTTCTTCTCGCGAGTGGCCGCGAGCACCGTTTCCAAAACCCTTCCCGTCTGAGGTTGAGCTGCAAAAAAAACCGATGCAATATATTTTGTGAGTCCCTCTCTCCGATACTGTAAATATACTTGAAAGATGATATTTATTATTATTACCATTGCTATTTTTAAAACTAAAAACTTCCCCTCCTATTTATAAACCCCCAAGTACATTAAACACGCCGTTTTTACATTGTCTTTGTCAACAGTGCTGCAAAAGAAGGGGTGGGAAAAAGGAAAAGGATTACAATTAATCGCCCACAGACACATTCACACACACAAAATGGGTAGCATTAGTTGAAGAGGAGGTGGTAGCGCCATGCTTTGCTATATGAGAAGAGGAGTAGGAGGAGGAAGGAGAAAAAGGTATAATCAGTATAAGGTGGGGTGGGAAAAGGCCAAGCGTGTCTTGAGGAACAGTGGTGAGAAGGAAGAGAAGACCAGGGGGAAGGAGATTATATGGAAGAGGGTAAAAGGTGAGCAGACGACCGAGGGAATTGAGGATCCCCAGAGCTAGGATTAGTGTCCCGGTGGTGGCGGTGGAGGTGGGGGCGGAGGCGGTGGTGGGGGCGCAGGAATGCCCGCACCACCCGATGCAGCCCCTCCTCCTCCTCCTCCGGTGGCAGCAGTCTGTGCGGCGTACCACTGCGCGTACTGACTCCACTGATCGTAGCCGGCGTACTGCCCTGCCGAACTGGCTCCGCCGTTAGCCGACGAGGATGCAGCCGTGGCACCCTTCGAGTCAGCTGGAGGAGGAGGTGGTGGCACTGCCGCCGACGCCGTGCCCCAGTGATTCCACATCTGAGCAGCGTAGGCGGCGGCATATGGATCAGCACCGGCCACGCCGTAGCCGGCAGAGGCGTAGCCTGCCCAAGGATCGGCGGCAGCAGAAGCTGCGCCATTGCCTGCCCCTGAGGACGCCGCTGAAGAGCCCGCCGCCGCATCGGCGCCATTGTTGCCCCAGTGTTGCTGATGGTGGTGACCATGCTGCTGGTGGTGGTGATCCCCGTGGTGATGGTCACCTCGGTGCTGCTGAGAATGATGCGGGTGGTGGTGCGACTGGTGGTGATCGTGCGGAGAGCGATCACCTCCACCTCGAGAATCAGACGACGCCGGTGGGGGAGGCGGTGGAGGCGGGGGTGGTGGAATATTCAACGGTTCATGATGCCGATTATGATAGTGGTGACCACCGCCGTGATGACCACCACCACCACCACCTCCTCCCTGTTGCTGACTGTGCTGGCCCTGGTAGCGAGAAGAGGGCGGCGGTGGCGGCGCCTCGCCCAACTCAGCCATCAGCGACAGGTACTCCTCGTCGATCTTGGCGTCATTGACGCCACCACCACCGCCGGCACTGCCATCGCCGTTGCGCTGCTCTTTGCAGTCCTTGGCAATGTGGCCGACGCCGTTGCAGTTCGTGCAGAAGACGTTGTTGGTAATGTTGGGCTTGTCAGGACACTGCCAGGAGCGGTGGTTGTTCGAGCCGCAGTTCGTGCACCGCGGGCCGTCATTCTCGCGCAGTGTGCCGTTGAGGAGGGCGAGCTCGCGCAGCTGACTGCGCCGGAGGTCGTTCTGATTCTCCGGCAGTTCAATGCCCTTGCGAATGACCTCGTTGATCTGCAGTGGAAAGAGAAACTGTTAGAAAGTGCTTTTTAAACACAGTCACTGTCTCCTACCTTGCCGACAGCCTGCACCACCGAGTCGTGCGTGGGCCCGGTGACAAAGGCGTGCAGCGGTTCGTCCTCTCCGGGCAAAGGCTGTCCGTCCTTGCGTGCTAGTTTACCCTCCTTGACCGAACCTTTACCTCTGATGATGATCTTGGCGCCAGACTGAGAAAGAAAAAGTTGTTAAAGTGATGATCGATAAAAACTTGATACATCCAACTTACATCTCGCTCCATTCCCTTCAGCGTGTTGCCGCGTGGGCCAATGATCAGACCGACAAAGTTAATGTCCGGGTACTCGTCCTGTGGAATCAACACCTTCTCGCAAATTTTAGTCTGTGGAGGCCTAGAAGAATAGAAAAAGTGGTTAGACAAATCAGAAACAAACTCCTCACTATTCCACTTACTTGTAGTCAGATGGCGGCTTGTACGACGGATTGATGGCGGTCATCTTCGTAATTAGCCCGTGACGTTCTTCTTCAAACTTTTTCTTCGTACGATACTCGCGCGTGTTGAGGCGTTTACCTTCGGAATTGTAAATGGGCTCAGGTGATGGAGACCTGCTTGGAAGAGGCATTAATAAAGGGTGCCCAGAGAAGCAAAGAGTGAGAAAGTAAAAAAGAAAGGTTAAGAAAAAAGAAAGAAGACGGGTAAAGGGACTGTGAGATGCAAAAAACATGTTAAATCGCTCCTAAGTGGTGGCAAAGTATTAATGTTAGCAAAAACGAAAGTGAGATAACCAGGGTGAGGCGCAAGGTAAGCGTGGGAGCCACCACAAAACTGGGCGCGTCTACGAATCAACCCCCTAAACCCTGAAAAAAGTGATTAACCTAAAAGAGCATTGGTTATCCAATTGATTGACATGTAAATGGATTATTTGTGATGAGTGAAGCCTGTAAACAACAAGTTGGTTAGTGTCCGGCGGTGGACGACGGGGACGACACCAAGCTGCTTACAGGAGAAAGAGAAAAAGAGCTAAGAAAAGGTAAATAAATGATCATCATTATCATTAGAGGCCTAGTTGCGAATTGCGGCAATATCATCACTTAAACCATAACTTTTAAAAATACACTGCTTGCGTTTGCTCTGCGGTAAAAAGCTGCTGATCAGTAATAGAAAAATTATTGGTGGTGGGTGTGGGTGTGATGTGTGGTCAGTGGAGTGAAGAACAAGAAGGACAAACAAACAAACAAACAAACCTTTGCTCGGGATTCTCCGGAATGCCCAGATCGCCGGTCAGTAGACGTCGCGTGATGGATTCAATTTGCAGTTGCACTAAATGGCAAAGAAGAGGTTAGAAAATGGGCCAAAGGACCCGGGTTAATTAAAACAGATGAAAAAGATACGAAAGAGAAAGAGAGCAGTAAACGACAGTAAACCGCTAAAAAGTGAGAAAGGTTAACGAGGAGACAAAGAGGACACGTGAACAAACAAAAACCGACAAAACAAGTCAGTTTGCAGAGTTGAGCATTTGTTTGTAGATTCTTACAGATATAAATCTCCTCCTGTGTTTTGGTCAAGTTTGACGGAATGATCGTCGGCATTCCCGGTATGAACACCTTCTCGCGGTCATCGCCGCCCCAGCGACTTTTACGCTTACGACGTCGTTCGGCT